ATGGCCATTATTGTTATTCTGTACACCAACGCAGAATCTTAAAATATAGCAAATAGAGTTCTAATGACACATAAGGTTTCTCCCTGGAACACAAGGATAATTCAGTAATGATGATGTTTCTTAAATATACTGTATTGAGGTCAAAGGGGGAAAAAAGACAAATTCATTACATACCATAAAAGGAATTTGAGAGAAAATGCAATACTCATTCCAGATAAACCCTTAGTAGAACAGAAACATACTTCTTCAGCATGATAATATCTATTTCAAAACAAGAGCCAAAAGGATAGTTAATGGTAAGATACTAGAGTTATTCAAATTAAAGACAGGAAGCAGGCTAAGATGTCCTCCACCAGCATTGACAAATTAAACATTTTTCTGGAATAGTAGCCAATGCAATTCAATAAGACAAAGAAATGAGAGAAAAGGACAAGAAATTATTTGTCAATAATCACATGCCTAGAAAATAAGCTGAAACACCATTTGAAGCAATAAAAAATTTCATAAGTTGGCGAGACATGAAATTGACACATGAAAATCTATATACAAACAATCAGCATTTAGAGAATAGATCTCATTTATTTATGAAATTTTTTAAAGATTTATTTTTATTTATGCATACAAGAGCTGGGGTGTAGGCCAGAGGTGCAGGGGGTGAAAGGACTCACCAGAGACAGAGTGGGGACCAGAACAGGTGGATCTACTGAAAATACAGTGCTGAGGGGAGCAGTGGGTGAGACAGGAGATGTCTGCTGAGCCATGTGGGTAGCTCCCTGGCTGGAGCTCAAACTCATGCCACAGTGGCTGGAGATAGCTTAATAGCGCTCAGACTTTAACCCCTGTACCACCACAGAGGCCCCCTAGATCTCATTTATAACAGCAATAAAATAATCCTAATACTTGGAGGGGAAGTCACCCTTATTGATTAAACACTGAAGCTCTACTAATTTAACAGCATTGAGCTCAGAGAATCACTCAAAACTAGAAGAACGTTAATCCCTCTCTAATTTCAGTGTGATTCCAAATGAATTATCCTTAAAACCTTCATGCCAACCATATGCCAGGCTCTACCCCAGATGCTTGAAATATATCTTAAAGGTCAGGGCTTAGGAAGTATCTCCAAACATGTTCTTCCACATCTGTAAATATTTGGACTCGATCATAAATCCATGTGTGTGCCTTGCTCTTGTTTTGTTTTGTTTCACCAGGGAAGGAACCACACAAAACCCTGATAGTGGTTACCTGTGGGGACAGGGACTGGGGCTAAAAGGATCTTTTTCTTTTCTTTTTATACCTCTTTATACCATTTGATTTTTTAATGTTTAAGTATATGACTTTTCTTTTCTTTTTTTTAAAGATTTATTTATTTTTATACAAGAGCTGGGGTACAGGCCAGAGGTGTGGGAGGATGAGAGGATTCACCAGAGACAGAGCAGGTAGCAGAACAGGCAGAAGGACCAAAATACCCTGCTGAGGGGAGCAGCAGGTGAGACAGGAGAGGTCTGTGCCATGTGGGATTCTCGCTGGCAGGGATCGAACCTGCGCTGCAGAGACTGCGGACAGCTTCACAGCACTGCGCTCAACCTGCTGGGCCCCTGGGGAGGCCCTATGACTTTTTTCTTAATGTCAACAATAATTATCTGAGCAAGGAATGACAAGTAAGACATTTTTAAATGTCAGTACTTAAAAATAGTATCAAGTGTTATCATAAATAATAACATCAATAATGATCGAAGGTGGGGGCTGGGAGGGTAAAAGGGAAGAGAAAACATCCTTTCAGGAGAGTTCATAGCCCAGGATGCCAAGTCCCACTGGTGCTGGTGGGAACCAGCTGGAGGCCGCGTGGGCCCGACAGACACACCATCAACAGGCAAGTAGTTGAATCTGAATGAAGGGTCTGTTCACAGCCTGCTGCCCCCAGCCCACCCAGTTCTTTCTAGGAGCTTCTCTGGACCTGTTTCCTCAGTGGGAACAAGAAGGGGTTAGTTAGATCTCTAAGGGCCTGTCCAGGACTCTTCACTCATTCGTTTACTCGTCATGGAGGACCCACGAAGTTATAGGTTCTGGGTTCAAGACTGACCTCATGGAGACACAGTCTAGCCAGGAGATAGATACTAACCAGCGATCCCCCTAGAAAATATTTAAGTTCACCCTGGCCGCGCCCTGGAGGAGGGGGTGCCCTCGGCTGCATTAGCAGAGGGTAAATGGACAGTTGTGAAGACAAGTGGGGTGGGAGCAGAGTATGGGAGTTGAGCAGATGAGCAGGTGTTAATGAGGGGGCAGGTCAGAAACAGACATGCATTACAGCGGACAGGAGAACAGGGAACACACAGTAGGGCTTCCAGGCTGCTCTAGCATCTAGTAAGCACAGAGCACAAATGGGTGTTCAGCTGATATTTGTGTAATGAATGGAAGATGTGTCACACCCATCACCTCAAGGTGATATTCTTGTAGTAAGAGAGAGGCTTGGTTAATTTCTTTAAAATCTATTCTGCTTCTCTTTAGAATGTCCCCACAAGAACTATTCCTAAACTCTACCTCACTAAGCCAACATCCACACTCAGAGGTGATCTTGATCACCTCCCGCAACCTCACGGGACTTCCTGGGTAGAAGCCACCAGCTCCTCCAGCAGTCAGGGGATGCACTCTGGGGTAAGTGACAGTCACGCTGTGCCACAGGGACTCGAGAGGCCCGCAAAAGGTGGTACATCAACCAGCACCCCCACACAGATTAAGATCCTGAATTATTTAAGGGGTGGGGGAGCTTTTAAAAAGAAAAACTGTTTGGTTCCTAAAAGGTTTGTGACGTGCAGTGTAAATACAGAGTGAAAATGAACAAAGGCAGCATGAAAGAATAAATCAAAAATAAAAGGAAAACTCCAGTTAAGTAAAACCTGCCTTCCAGCTACATGGAAAAACACTCCGGTGCCCCGGTAAATAAATAATAAAAGGATATGGAAACAATACACCTTGAAAACGGGTGTCCTTTCTCTGTTCTCCTAGCCAGAAGCAGTGCTGACAGGTTTGTGCTGCCTGGCTCACCGACACAGCTAGCATTTATTTATGTAAAAACACCTGGGCACTTTTCAAAGAATCAGGTAGGACATTTCAAAGAACTCAAGGCAGTCTCTATTTTACTAGCATAATCCCAACACGTTGCCCCAAGCCCCAGTACTAACCCACACCTAAGATAAGATACCCCGACCCCCTGGACAGGATGAATGCTAGAAATAAGAATTTGGGGTGCTCGGACCACGCCACCCTCCCTCCCCCATTGGAAGCCTCCTGAGAATGTATCCCCACAAGGAAAACGACAACAATGCACAGTGATTTCCATTCTCACCACACCAAGCCTGTTTCTTAAACACCCTAACTTGTAACAGGTCCTGTCCGGCTCACAGCTGCAGCCTTAGCCTCGCCTGCCCACATTTCCATACTATTTCTTACATCACGATCACAGGCAACTTGTGCCACAAAGAGGTGCAGGACATTATCCCGGCCGGCCGGAGGGAGTCCCACAGGGCGCGGCAGCCCTCTCCTGTCTCCCCGCTGCTCCCCTCAGCAGTGTGTTTCGGTCGGTCTGCCTGTTCTGCTCCCTACTCTGTCTCTGGTGACTCCTCTCACCCTTCCACACCTCTGGCTTGTACCCCAGCTCTTGTATAAATAAATCTTAAAAAAAAAAAAAAAAGAGGCTCAGGACAAAGCATCCAGGCTTACTGGAAAAAGGCGCCAAAGGAGCAAAACTAAGGCAGAAATAGCAGCAACGCAGGGCCACAGACATCACGGACTAGGGGGCTTTGGTGACCAAGACGGGGTAAAAGGTTGCACTAGACAGACTTGGGTACCAAGAAAGTCTAGAAAGGTAGTGAGTAGCTGTCAATTCTGCAGCAGACCTGGGAAAAGGTCACCTTCGGAAGCCCACACACCTCAAGCTGCATGGAAAACAAGTCACCCCAATCTCTGGCCGGGGCACCAGGCGGGCCTCCGGGGCAGGTCAGAGCCCCAACCCCCACCTGCCAAGGCACAGAGCAGCCTACGAAGGAGTTGGCAGTTTAGAGATCAAGTCACTTTTCCTTACATGTTAACTTTGCATAGAACAGGTGTTGGGATCTGCTAGTCCTCAAGCTGATTTACTCCACTTCCTTCTTCCGTGAAAGCACAGAAGGTCCCGCTACCCCACCTCACGGAGGAGATGCGCAGAGAGGAACAGGAGCAAGTCCTTGCGGGGTGAGGGGGTCATATCCATGCAACTTTCTGTCCAAACCTCTGTGCCCCAGCATTCCAGCCTTTCCTGACTCCCTCCCCCCAGGGGCTCAGAGAAAAAGGACACTCGACATGGCAGAAAAGACTAGAAAGCATATGCCCACCAACAGGGCGAGTCAAGTGAATCAGGTCTGTCTATTCAGAGTGAAGAACGAGCTGTTAGGGACTCCCACAAAGGAGCCCCAAGATATGTAAAGTAAAAAAAGCAAGGATCAGAAAGACTACAGGCCTTGTTCATATAAAGCTACTTTAAAGAACACATTCACATTTGCTTGTGCAGGGACAGGCTGCTTCTGGAAGGCTGTCCCGGGACATTCTAACATTGACTCAAGAGAGGAGAGGAGGGACCAGGTGAGGGGAAACCCAGGTGTCCCCGGAGCACTGTCCTTTGCTAGTTTCAGTGTCTCACTCTGGACACAAGTCACTGCAAATGTAAACCCAAGCAAACCAAAAAGACTTTAAATGCCTGGGAGGAAACCTGCGCCAATATTTCTAAATGCTTCAGGCCCGCACGGCACGGCCATCTTCATGTTCAAGGCAGCCTCCTAAAACCAACCCTGACACCCCTCTCAGCACCCAGCCCTTCCCCCAAAACTATTCAAGGGACCCAGGGGCTGCTGTTTGCCCGCCCGCCCTCCGGCTCGGGCTCGGTCAGGTCTGGGTCCAGCCAGAGCAAGAGCACTGTGTCCTTTGAAAACATTGTCGAATTTGTGTGTAGTAAATAAGACATAGTTTACCTTTCAGCAAAGGTATCGAGTTTCCCCAACTCGTCAGAGAGGCGGATAAGGGAATTCAAGGTCCCCACCTGGAAAAGATGGTAAAGAAGTTAGAGGTTCCTGCTTTCTGGCAGAAGTATGGGTGCAGGGACTCCCTGGGGGTGTTAAGGGTTAAGTCTCAGCACTCTCAAGCTGTCAGCAGCCATTGGCCTGAGTTCCAGCCCTAGCCAGGGAGCTACCCACATGGCACGGCAGACCTCTCCTGTCTCCCCGCTGCTCCCCTCAGCAGTGCATTTCAGTAGATCTGCCTGTTCTGCTCCCGGCTCTGTCTGCTGAATCCTCTCACCCCCTGCACCTCTGGCCTGCACCCCAGTTCTGTATGCATAAATAAATAAAAACAAATCTTAAAAAAAAAGAAGCGTGGTGCTTTCAACAACATTTCGGGGAATTCTGCATCTTGAGTCTTGAGGTGGCTGTCCTTGGGCAGAAGCCACAGGGGAAGCTGGGAAGAGTTCGAAGGAAATGGGTGGACTGGGGGGTTTCAGTTTTGCCACCAGGATGAACTGTGTTTTTTCTGCCCTAGGAAGGAGGTCGCAGCCTGACCCCCGTCATTCTTCCTCTTAGCCTGGCTCTCTACGGGTCGCACGGTTGACCCCCATCGCCCTGGAGAAGATACACTAGGAAGCAGGTTAATGAAGTGACCCTTTCTGAGAGTCTTTCTTCTCCAAGATAACCCGTCCTTTCTCTGGCCTTCCGAGCTGTTATTAACAGTCTGGGGAGACAGCGGCTGCTTTTCCTCCCACTCGATCATCCACCATAATCCTTTTCAGATCACCCATGAAGACCTGTTTCTTAGTGTGGCAATTACTATGGGGTCCAAAACTGTATTTTAAAGTGTATTCACACAATCAGAAGGAAAAGGTTTGTTATCATTTCACTGACCCCCAAGCAGACACTAGAAGGTGATGAGGGGCCTGCGCGGCCTGGGGGTGCTAGTAAATGAAGCTGCTCCTGTTCAAGCAACTGTGACTTCTGCCACTTGCAGCAGGGTCCTGTCGCTTTCACCCTAGGGTGCCCTTGAGTGCTCACCCTCCCAGCGTCTGTGCTTGTCAGCAAGACGTGGGGTCAGGGCCGGTGCCACCCCATGTTCGATCAACTACTCTCCTCTGCCCACCCTGTTCTGTAAGCGGGAGTCGTGAATGTTCCAGATGATGCACTGAGAGTGCCTGGGCCAGAGTGTTGTCTGATCACCTCGGGCAAGCACAGAAACATTACCGAGCTCTTCCCGAGTTTGGAGGAGGAGACCCTGGTTGGCTAGAAGGGTGCCTCGAGCTGCCCTCTGCAAACCCACAACCCTAGAACACACTGGAGAAAGTTCACTCTGTTTGAGCTAAAAAGACTTTCCATCTCACGCCCCCTTTTATATTCATTTCTTTTACCTCCAGGCTCTACTGCGAAAGCCACTGGCGTGTGCGCAGGAGCAATCTCCTTCTGCCCCTGCCAGTTACCACAAAACCCCCTTTCTGCCCTGCTCCCACAACCAGAGGGTCCCTGGGGGCAGCTCCAATCAAGGTTGACGCCCCCGAGCCTGTATGTTTAAACAACAGTGTTCTTAGATGCTTGAGGCCAAACAGGAAGAACGGAAAAGACGCATGAGGAGTCAAGTGTGTAAATGCTCTTCACACTTTGGGGCGCTCTAGACACTGTGGGCCGCACCGCCCGCTCCTTCATTCTCTCCTGGGGCTCTAAGGCCATCGCTCCCGGCACCGGCGAGCTGTTCACTTAGCCCTTGAACCATCCACAGGTTCTTGACCCACGAAGCCGTGCAAAGGAATTCACAGACATTTTAGATCAGGAAGCAGAGAGAGACGAGCCTCAGTCAAGAAAGTAAAGGAAAGTTTATTTAAAGGAAGAAAGTCAGGACTCCCGAGGACGCTGTCGTCGGGAGGGGCGAGGAAGCCATTGTGGGCCTGCGTCTAGGGGTCTTCAAAGCTTTGCGTCCCCCTATCCTGAAGTCTCACCACCCTGTTCTGTGACTGGCTCTTCCTCCTGGGGACCACACGCCTCCAGGCAGATGTGCCCATTTTCCCAGCTCGTATCTTCTCTTTCTACCTCCCCTGGCCAATGTCTTCTAAAATTTACTGTCCCAATTAGTCTCAAATTTTAGCCTTAAAGTTTCCTGCCCTCATCAGCCCTCCTGAGCTTCTCTGCCCTTATCTAGAGGCCTCCCCGACTCTCCCCAAGTCCCCGCCTGCGCTGTCCCTGAGGCTGCCTGCTTAACACTAACGTGCCCTGGGACTCCAGACCATAGTTAATTTTGGATTATTCTGCAAACTCCCATCCAGACCACAACCCTCCCACCCCCAACCCCTGTTGATTCTCACCCCCAGGCTCGTCCTCAGCCTTGTTGCCTTTGCCCTGTTATTGTCTCCTTAGCCCCCCAGAAGCTACCCCCACAGTCCAATCCCCCACTTTTTCCCTCCTCCCCAAGAATTTTACCTTGAAGTCAGGAATCGAGAACTCGGTGTTGTAAGACAGGTTGGACTTGGAGGTCACTGTTTTCATCCTCTCAATAGCCTGTAAATTCTCCTCATCACCAGGGACAGAAATTAACCAAAACTCCCACATGCTTCCCAGTCTTCTTTGATCCAGGAACTGCCGGAGCCGCAGCAACATGCACAAACAGAAGCAGGAGGAGAGAGGGTCAGACACCTCCTCTTCTTCACCACTCCCGGCCTCAGCGGGAATCCTCTCCAGGAGGCGGCTGGTCCGATTCCCCTCACTCTGCCTCAGGCCCGTCAGCTGGGACCCTGCAGGTCCAGGACACCCGCACACAGCGGGGCGCGCTTGGAGAGCCCTCTGCTCTTCACCAGGACACCCCAAGCTCTCCAGCCCCAGGGAGGCTCTGGCTGGCCTGAAGCCCTGGGGCTGGGGCAGCACAGCCCCCTGCCTGGACTCTCCTCACTCTGGCAGGACCCCCAGGCCTGACCCAAAGCGGGGGACGTCAGCTGCAGTGGGGCGCCTGCTGGGATGACATTTTTCCTCCTTTCCCGGTGCATTTTCCCGAGTACAGGGCAGAGGGGGAAGGAATAAAACAGGGAGGGGTTTTCACAGTAGGCCACCTGGGCAAACCCCGGAGCTGGAGACGGACGCGAGCTGCGAAGACTTCTGGAGGCCTCGGCATTTTGTGAAATAAGGAAAAGGCGGCGGACTCTACAGCGCGTCTCCCCCAGGGCCGAGCATCGCGGGGACGCGGCGGCGGCTCCTGGCCAGCGTCCCCGGCGCTCCAGCCCATTAGTTCTGACCGTTCAAACGTGGACACACCCCCGCCTTTCTCCGCCGCCGGCTCCTGCCTCCCGGGCTCCCGGAGAGCCCCCGAGGGGCTGGGGGGGGGCGGTTAGCCAGAGACCCTTCTCCAAGAGTTTTCTTTCTGGTGCTCGCCTCACGCACCCCAGCATTACACCGTCCTCGTCGCCCCCCGCGCCCCGGAGGCCGTTCCTCCGCCTCGCCCGCTGCAGCCGGGCAGACCCGCCGTGCGCAGAGGCGGGCGAGGCCACCTGCGGGGCGGGGAGCGCGCGGCGGCGGCGCGGGCCTCCCGGGGCCCCCGAAAGCGCGGACCCCGCCGAACACCCGCGCCCCGGCCGGGGGACCGCGGACGAGGGGGGCTCGGCCTGGCCCCCCGCCGCGCCCCCACCCCGCCCCGCGGGCCCCGCTCCCCGCGCGTCTTACCCGCAGGGGGAGGCTCGGCCGGTCCCGGGAGGCAGCGGCTGCAGCGCGCGCCCCGCCCCGAGCTTTTATCCGGAGCGGCGGGGGCGGCCGCCGGCCCCCGCCCGCCCCCGCCCGCCCGCCCGGCATTTGCATGTCCCGCCGCCCGCCCGCGGGGCCGCCCGGGGCGCAGGACAGCGGGGCGCGCGCCCCGCGCCCCAGCCCCGCTCCCGGCCCCGTCCCGCCGCGGGCAGCGGGGCACGAGGAGAGATCCCGGGGCGCCGAGGGTCCCCCGCTGGCCGCCCGCGCCCTGCGCCTCCCTCCCAGCCCGCCCGCCCCACGGCCACCCCGGGCGGGTCCCGAGCCGTCGCCGGGACAAGACTGACCTGCGGAAAGCGACGCAACAGGTTCACCTGCGTTTTGGAGCACACACCTGGGCAGAGGAGCTCACCTCCCGTCCATGTGGGCGTGAGCCTGCCCTGATTGCCCGGGGACTCCCCGCGGCTGGACGCACCCACCTCCCGCTCCCCTCCCGGTCGCGGCCCCGGGGTCGCCCTCTGTGGGGCGCGCAGGACCCGCGCGCACGGCGAGGAAAGTCCCTGACACTAGCCCGCGAGTGCAGAAAGCAAAACAAAAGCAGACTCTGGGAACTGGGTTTCTCCGGAGCGCAGGAGGAAACCAGCCATCCTGCTCTGTGGGCCGTGTTTTCGGTGGTTTCCGGGAAAGATAAATATCTCCGAATTATTCTTGGGGGTGGGGTTTAAAGAAGCTCTCCTGCTTCCTTGAGCTGGCCGGCCGCTCGCTCCAGCTCCCACTGCAGCTGCTCTCTGATCTTCAGAAAGACAGGCGGATGCAACCTCTGCTGCTGGGGTGAGAAGCCCCCAATGCCGGACAGAAAGTGGCTTTCAAGGTCAAGCATGATCACGCTGCCATGCTGTTGTGGTTTGGAATTGGCAATTTGGAACTCCCAGCACCTGCACGCTGCATCATCGCGATTGGGACACCCATGCATTAGTCAGTCCTTGCACCACCCTCCTGAAGGAGGACACCTGAAACCGAGGGATGAGGAAACCGGGGGTGTGTGGGGAGCTTAAGTGTCCCTTCCAGGGAAAGAGCCGCCTGACTGAAGGTTGACCTGTGGTCTCCAGTCTCAGGCTTTATTCCAGGGTTGCATTCTCTCCAGCCAGGGAAAGGGACGTCCAGCCGTGGCAGACCTCTTTGCCAGCAAAGCGAAGGATGCCCACGGAAGCTTCATAAATTGCCAGGTGTCACCGGTTAATGGCAGAGCTGTGAGCGGGACTCAGGCCTCAGCCTTGTCTGTGTCCTTCCCAGGCGCCCCGCCAGCCGGAGGACCCTGCTGACCGAGGGAAAACCCATGCTTTCCATCTCACCCCGTGTTTTCCATCCGGAACCATCGGCCTGGCTTCTCAGAGACCGGGCAACATATTACAGTGTTCCACCTTTGCTTAGAACATCGTTTTTTTCTATAAATTTGATTTCCTCCAACAAGCTTCTTTCATGAAACAAAAGAAGACTCAACACAAAATAACTCCTGGACATCATCTGGTTGGGAAAATAATACAGACCTGCAGTGTTCCTTGTCTTTCTCAAACTCTTCCTCAAAATCTAAAATATTTCTAGTCTTTCATGTCTTAAGTTTCCTACTAAATATGGGAATTTATAAGAATTGTCAGCTGCTGGTTTAGGGGCAGCTTGCTTTTATTCAAATAATTGTTTTTCCTGCTTATTAAGGAACTCTGCTTCCTATAGAGAATTGGAAAAAGCATAAAGAAGAAAGTATATCGTCACCTGCATTTCTCTGATCTGAAAATAACCACTGTTAACATTCAAATTCCCTATGTTACTTTTTAATGCATTTTCATACATACAGATAGGGATTCTTTGGCATGATGAGAAGCTATATGACACACCAGTTTGGCATCCTGCTATTGATCGCTATTTAAACATGAAGACATTTATCAAATCTCTCATCAGTAAAGGGTAATTCAATGTCATCAGCAGGTTGAGTATCTGAACTTGAGTCAGATACATTTGATTTCAAAGGCAAATGAAGAGGTTTTGTTGGACAACTTCCTGAAGGACAGGGGAAAACGACACCAAAACAATACTCTCTTACCCGAGGGTGATCTGATTTACCTTTTTCAAGGACAGCCACGTGTGTACTTACCAATTTTGCACGACTTGACCTGTGTGATTCTCTGAGTTTTCCTCTGAAGATCACTCTTTAACTCAAAGACAGGGGGGAAATCAACCAAGAGTTGTGGAATCTGATCCCCGAGTATATTCAGAGTATATAAAACAGCATTCCCTGTTTCCTCCCATAGATCAAGCTGAAGCAGCTTTGAACAACCCATTTCTTAAGCACCCCATCCCCACACACTCCCAAAATCTCTGAAATCTGCTGCTAAATGGCTGCCAGTGTCTCTGCCTTGACACTGCTTCTAAATGTGCCCCAAGTAAGAAAAATCACACAGGCGTCATGAAAAAAACCAGGTCATCAAGAATACTATCTCTTCCTGGGAATAAAGGCTGCAGAGGAAATGCCAACAAGCCTGAATCAGCTCCAGCTTCTTAAGCACCTGGCTCTGGCGAGCTAGTCCAGAAATGTTCCTGCCGCGGGCACGGGCTCGGGCATTGCGCGAGCCAGCTGCGGTCTGTGCGGGATGGAACTGTCCCATCAGGTTTGGAACCAGACAGGCAGGACTGGCCCAGTCTGTGTCCTGTTGTCCAGCCTCTCCCACATGATGTCCTTGGAACCTCTGGACCTCTTTCCGGGCACAGGCCTCCTGGGATGCCCTCTGCCACGGGACACACACCACTCCACCTGCAGTCCACTCAGGTGCTTTGCTGAAGAAAACCTGGGGAAGTTTTTCTAGAAGGACAGCTTTGTAGTGGAGAAAAAGGGAAGTAGGGCCTCCCTGGTGGTGCAGGGGTTAAAGTCTCAGCACTGCACGCTATCCGCAGCCACTGCGGCATGAGTTCAATCCCCAGCCAAGGAGCAACCCACATGGCACAGCAGACCTCTCCTGTCTCCCTGCTGCTCCCCTCAACAGTGGATTTCAGTAGATTTGCCTGCTCTGCTCCCTACTTTGTCTCCGGTGAATCCTCTCACCCCCTGTCTCCCCACCCCTGCACCTCTGGCCTACACCCCAGTTCTTGTATGCACAAATAAATAAAAATAATTTTAAAAAGATTTATTTATTCATGCATACAAGAGCTAGGGTACAGGTCAGAGGTGTAGGGGGGTGAGAGGATTCACCAGAGACAGAGTGGGGAGCAGAACAGGCAGATTGACTGAAGTACACTGCTGAGGGGAGCAGCGGGCGAGACAGGAGAGGTCTGCCGCGCCATGTGGGTTGCTCCCTGGCTGGCCAGGTATCGAACTCACGCTGCAGAGGCTGTGGATTGCTTCATAGTGCGGTGCTTAACCCCTTGTGCCACCAGGGAGGCCCAATAAAAATAAATTTTTAAAAAAGAAAAAGGAAAGCAGAATTGCCCCTTGCATCCGTGAGGGAGTACAGAAACAGATTAGCATCTGGAAGGAGCTACATGGATAAGTGGCTTAGCCTTGCTCAGCTGCAGTTTCCCATGTGACAGGAGCAGAACAACTATGTCCACTTCTTGGGCACATTGTGACGATAAGAGAGGACATGTAGCCTTTGAGGAGTGAGGAAAATTTAGGTCACACTCTTTGGAAGCTTAGAAGGGAAATGCACCTGAATAAAATTTGCTGCTAAAGCTTCGGTGAGAACTCTTACCCTCAGATCCATCGAAATGTCTCTGCAGCAAGACGAGAGGCTGCTTCAATGCCTGCTTTTTCCCATTGCTTTCTCATTTCCAGGTTCCTTTTTTCCCTCACGAGCTCAAAGACACTGATTCTGGCCAGTTGGAACCACATGGCCCGTTGGCAACTCATGCGTTCAGTCCCTGCAAACCTGTCTTTGATGTATCAGCCCGAGCGGCAGGTGCTTCAGGGAGAGCCCCCGGGGGCATTTTGAGCTCTGGCTTTGGGAGTTGAAAGGATGTGCCCTCGGGTCTCAGTTCCATCCTTTCTTAACTGTGCCCTTTCCAAGGACACGGTCTCTCTGTAACCCACCTAATGACTTCAGGGACTTCCAGGTATTGTTAGAGAATTATGAAAAAAAAAAAAAAAAACAGAATGAGATTGTGTGTGCAAGACATTCAGTGTCTGATTCTTTGTACTCTAAATTGGAGTAATTTAATTAATTTAAGCAGGTGGCGGCCACCACCCCCACTTCACTCACTGTCAAGTTCTTAGTGCCCCGTGGATGCTTAGCAAGTGCTTTTTGGATCCCCGGATGCAAGGAGCTTAACTGCTAGAGCCTGGAGTATCAGGTAAGCTGAGTGAGAAGCATTTTGCCGGCCTTAAGTCTGTAATGTTCTAGAAGGTTTTGTGGTCTGCAAAATGTCCTGGGGATGTGGCTCTGCAGATGTATTTCAGGGACATAAGTTCAATGAGTGATGCCATTCATTTATGTTTATAAGACTGAAAGTCGGGGACCTCCCTGGTGGCGCAGCGGGTTGAGCGCCACGCTGTGAAGCTGTCCGAAGCCTCTACAGCAAGGGTTCAATTCCCAGCGGCAGGCCAGGGAGATACCCACATGGTGCGGCAGACCTCTCCTGTCTCGTCCACTGCTCCCCTCAGCAGTGTCTTCAGTCCGTCTGCCCGATCTGCTCCCCACTCTGTCTCTGGTGAATCCTCTCATCCTCCCGTGCCTCTGGCCTGAACTAGTTCTTGTATAAATAAATAAATCTTTAAAAAAAAAACAAACTGAAGGGCCTCCCTGTTGGCGCAGTGGTTGAGCGCTGGGTTGCGAGGCTGCCCGCAGCCTCTGCAGCGCCGGTTCGATCCCTGGCTGCTCCCCGGCCACCGGAGGAGGGTCCCACATGGCGCGCAGACCTCTCCTGCAGCCCGCTGCTCCCCTCAGCAGTGTATTTCATCAGTCTGCCTGCTCTGCTCCCCACTCTGGCTCTGGTGAATTCTCTCACCCTCCCGTGCTTCTGACTGTACCCAGTGTTTGTATAAATAAATTAAATAAATAAATAAAAATAAATCTTAAAAAAAAAAAAAGACTGAAAATCGGAGACAACTTTATGCCCAACAAAGAGGGATTGGGCAGATTAGTAATGGTTTAATCACAGCATCGGTAGGAATGTTTTAGAGGAATATTAAGTAAAAGGAAATGCTTTTAGTTTTAAATAGAATTTTTTAAATGAAGATTACAATTTTGTAAGAAGTCACGTGTAAATATAATAAATACTGTGTGTGCATGTATCTTAAAAGAAAAGAACTCAAGATGGCACTAAAGGTTATAGCTGAAGAGTGCTGTTCCTCTTCTCTCTGGCCTTTATATTTTCAATGTTTTTATAATGAACAAGAAAAAATAAACTCAAGAAAAATGCTGAATGATACTCAAGTGGACAATTGACCATTCAGCCTATTACAGGCA